TTTACAAACTTAGTATAAAGTTCTTTCAAAAGATCATTAAGAATTTGGATAAGCAGGGGAGATTTTGGCGAAGCTGATTGTAGAAGGGTATTTACACTTTCAAAAATCTTAATGGTACTTAACACAAAACTACAATATGCTTTGTTCAAATCCGAAGAAAGAAGATAGAAAATCCTTTCCTCCCGGCTAATAGAAGACTGTTTCTTCTTCCCTTCAACTTCTTTAACAAAGTTGACCTTTGAGGAGTCTTCTAAGCATTTTCTTTTTAAAGGGTTTGATTCTGTGTGTTGGCTTTTCCCTTTTAAAGCATTTTGATTAGAAGCAAAGTTGGTTTTCGGAATCTTATATGCCGACAAATTTGATGGGATCTGTGGTTTCGTTTTGGTCTCTTCGTGGAAATATTTTAGCAATGCATCCCACTGTTCAATAAACCTTCCTAGCGCTCTGCCTAAGGATAACCATCTCGTGCATACATGTTTCAGAATTTTTCTCGTTTCACCAGAGCACAGTTCTTGGAAATTCTTTAGGTTTTCTTTCCTTTTTACACTTTTTTCCAGATAGAAAAACACATCAATCAGAAGCTGGTCAATATTTAATGGTAAAGCAGCTGCAGCTTTTTCTGCTGCCAAATTAATTAAGTGGCATGGGCATCCAATAACAATTAATTCATTTTGTTCTTTTTTGAGGAAAGAGGCTACACCCTTTTTGTCACCCACCATGACATGAGCATTATCTGCACCAAATGAAATGCAGTTTGATATTGGGATGTTAAGTTGTTTCAACTCATTAATTACCAAGGAGGCAATATTTTCCCCCGTAGCGTCTCCATTTAACAATGGAAGACGCAAAAGATGAGTTTTCATTTCATTAGAAACATCACAGAAATATGTGACAACGATGGGGTAAAGCTTCCAATCGCTGTCGTTGCTGCCATCGATTGACACCGAAAATGCTGAATTCTGGAGTGCAGCTATCGTTTTACTTTGTGCATCGCAAGCAATTTCGTTCACAATAGAAGATGTTTTCGTGCGAGCACAAGCATATTTCTGAGCAATCTTGGAGTCGGGAAACATCCGTCTGAAAAGTTGACCGGCGTGATCGGCAGCGCTTAGCGGCACGTTGTGTTCGATGAGGAATGCAGTAAACAAACACTCTGCCAAAATGACATCGGCATCCGAATTCGTAGCCGAATTTGAAAAAAAAAAATCATCCACTTTCTTTGACGTTGTCGAAGCCGAAGCATTAACTTCATGCTTTTTAGACTTAACATGCTTCACAATGTCGCTTCTTCCACCGTGACTTATTATGAAGTCACACACGCACACGTTGCAAAATGCATAGTTATTTCCTTTGAAGGATTCTTTAATTGTTGGAAATTCGGCTTTGTAGGCAGGCCGAAAATATTGAGAATACGGTTTTTTTTGAACTCATTTCGTAACAACGACGTATTAAGAAAATTCGTAGCACGTGCAAACAAAAAAAAAAAAAAAAAAAAAAAAAAAAAAGAATGCGACAATCCACGCTCGCTGAGTAATTCCCTTGCTGCTGAAGCGAAACGCGAAAAAAATAATCTGGCGCCCACAAAGAAAAGAGTGGGAGAAACAAGTTCAGCGCATTGGATTGGCTGGTTAAGCGGCGAGTTGGGAGAAACCGCAGGTTACTGGATTCGAAGTAGTCGGTAGTTGGCGGTAAAACACGATGCAATTGGCAAAAATCGCTGAAATGGCGAAAAATTCTAAAATTTTGACAAAAATCACTAAAAACACTTGAAAAAGGAAAAAAAAAAATAGTAAAAAATGGATTATGATCATAAAATCGTAAAGACAAACGCATTTTCGCAAAAATTACGAAAAATTCGTAAAAGTTGGCAGGTATGTACTAAGTATGATTTCTACTATAAATTAAAGAATTATTTAGAAGGATAGCTTAATGGTTTAAACATTAAAACTTTTGAACAGCTAAAAGATATCATACTTGTTGATCAATTGAAAAGTGTACTTATCCTGATATTAAAGAACATTTTATGGATGAATGGACTACCATCATTTCACCTACTGAGTGGTTAAGAAAATTGAAGATTTTGAAGATATGAGAAAAACAATAAAACAAAAATTTTCTGCCAATCAAACTGAGAGAATTAATAAAGGATCATTTAAACCTTGTTATGATAATTTTGTGAAAAATAGAGCATCTGCCTCATTTTAAGCATTCTGATAAATGGGATGATTCAAAATATCAAAAAGATCACCAAGAAGAAATCAGTTCCAAAACAAGAACCAATAAAATTTATATGACAAAAGGTACTGACAACATTGTTTCGAGTGCAGGTCATACGAACATTTTAAGCCTCAATGCCCTCGCTTAAAACCAAATGAAAAGGGTAAATTGCATATCTTCCAAAGATGATTTGCTAGAACCATATACAATTAATGGCTTAGTTGATGGGTATGAAATGCCTATTCTTCGAGACAGAGGAACCACAGTACATGTTATAAAGACAAAGGCAGCTGTTGTTACAAATGATCCTGGCAGATACGTATTGAGTAAAAAAACTGCTCAACTGTTCAAAGATAAATCATTCTTAAATTTAGAAGGATAAATGCAGTTTTAACATGATCTCAAGTAAAAAGATCTCGTGAAGAAAATTGAAGTAGAGACACCGAAATGGAGAAATTAGAACTGATGTTTATTCAGACCGACAAAGATACTGCAAGCTGATGAGGAAGAACAAGGAAATTAAGAGAGTAATTAATATTAATTCTAAGGAATGAACTGAATCTTAACATCAAAGCAGAGATCTAGCCTCACTGCTTAGTGAAGCTAAAAATAAAAATTTCAGCAAGACAAATGATTTCAAAGTAAAAGAAAACAAGTAAAAGACAAATGATTTCAAAGTAAAAGAAACAGGTTGTTGGTGAAAAAGAAAATAGATAAAAATGGAAAGGAAAGGGAATTAATTGTTATTCCTGAAAAATATAGGGATCAAATGCAGAACTATACATCTTTGGTACAGAACCAAACAAATAATAGTGCTAAAACTCAGGGTAATGTTGTCAATACCCACCTTGCTAAAAGTCAAGCTTCTGTCAATGCTTCACAGAAACCTAACCAACAAGCTAAGCGTTCATCTCCTGATGAGAAAACTGAAGTTTTTTATATGGAAGTTGACTCACCTTATTTACCTGGTGATTCATCTTCTATGGATAGTGTGTGTGATTATTCCTCTACAAGTTCTTTCTTCTCCAAAAAGCAAAGATGAGTTTGACAGTTTGTTAACAGCAGATAAAAGAACTCATGAAGATGCTTCTAAAGCTAAGAAATTAAAAATACGTTCAGAATCTATGCACACGTCAGAAAACTTAGCAAAGAGGCACAAACATGATAAAGGATACTCAAAGTTGCCACATTCAATGAGAATGCAAGTAACAGATAACAAAAGTTCATCTCGCAAGGAGCAAAAATTATCTGACAAGAAAAAACAGACAAAGTTAAATGATTCTCAGTTAAAAATTCTAGATTAATTGCAAGCTCTAGAGTTGAAATGCAAGTCAAGGAGAAGTTTTAAAGAAACTAAACAGACAAGAGCAAGTTGTTGAAGAAGTAAAACTGCTACAAAAGCCTCTATTACACTCACCTGATTTCAATAAGGAGTTCATTTTGCAAACAGATGTTTCAAACTATATTATGGGTGTTATTTTAGCTCAGAGAGATGAATGAGACAATGAACATCCAATGTTATACCTCAGTAAAAAGTTTACAGAAACTGAAAAAAGTACTCTATTGCAGAAAAGGAATGCGCCGCCATAATATTCGTTGTAAAGAAATGCAATGTTATTTAGATGGGCATACTAAATTCCTCATCATGACCGATCATAATCCCTTAGTTTATAAAGATAATGTGAGTCTAAATCCATGACTTATAAGGTGGGCACTAGTATTACAACCCCACAATTACACTGTCGTTCATCAAAGTGGTAAAAACAATAAGAATGTAGATGCATTAAGTCATACTCCCTGACCTGATTAAAGAATTTAAACAAATTATTTTGTTCTTTCCTCTTTTCCTGATTGTTATTAAGTTATTTGTTGTATGTCAATTATGTATTGTGTTGATATTATGTCCTGAAAAAAAAATGTAAACTTATAAAAATATCAAAGTTTATCTGGAGGGGGTGGGGGAAGTTGTAATACTTTATTATTTAACAGATAATTATATTTATTATCCTTTATATTGGAATGGCAATGCCATATTTGTATCATGTAACCACTGCTGAACAGCATCAGAAATGTTTAAAATTGTTATTCTAAAAGTTTTTAACAGTTATTAGATGATTGAAAATTTACCAAGAAAAAAATAGTAAAAGTACGCTAGAGTGCAATGCCGTAACGGATAAATTGTATTTTAAATTATCTATCTCCATGAACTGAGAATAAAATTTATGTTTTACTAAAAAGCTCATCTGTTATTTTGTTAAATACTGCAAAAAACATTACAGAACATATATTAGAAACATAAATAGCTGTGCATATTTAAAAAGATACTGCTTAGAAATTTTAAATCCAATCCCCAGAAATTTTATTTACTAATTTTCCATGATTATTAAAATTTAACAAATGAAATATTGGAATTTGTTGACTAAATTATTAAAACATTTTCAATAAAATATTAAAATTAATGTAAAAGAAAGAATTATCAATTAGCATTAAAATAAGATACAAGCAAGTAAGGGCTTAATATTAAAAGTAGGACACATAGAAAAGTTAAATCTCGGTAATTCAAAGTTTGTTTTTAAAAATTAAAATATAATGGAAGTTCTTTTATTAAATAAAAAAACCGAGTAATAAGTAATGCAAAAATATAGCATAGCAGATCAATGGAAAATAAATACCCCCGCATAAAATACCTGCAATAAATACAAAACCAATGAATTTTCTAAACAGAAAAATTATAAAAGTGCATTAATAAATATCACAAGAAAAATTTCTGAAACATGCATTACCTTCATCAAATAAAGACTGAACTTCTTGTACTATTTTGGTGTTGGCCGACCGCCTGAAAATGCCTTCAGTTTCCAGAGCTGTAAGAAACAAAGCAAATAATTAGAAATGGATCTTAAATGATTATTCAAGGAAATTTCAAAGCAAACAAAATTTACCATTATCATTATCTAAGTAGGCAATGCATTCTCTCATAACACGTGGTATAGGATCCCCCTTGTTATGCTCCTTAATGCTGAAATAAAATCACATTTATTTTCACCTACGCAAATAAGAAGTATTATCATCAATATAATAATTTTTTTCTAACTTTTATTTTCTAATATAGTGCTGACAAATATTCAGTAAACTGATAGTATATAAATTATAACATTATACTTATCTGACAGCATATAAACTGTAATGCTTATTTAATAGTATAAGCTAAATAAACAATCATAATTACAAAAAAACTAGTTTCAGAAAAATCATAAAAAACTCATTTGCAGAGTCATCAGCATTTCTGTACATTCTGTAGATTATCTGTATGTTCAAATACAAGTTGCCTTCTCTTTATTAATGTACCTGAATAACCCCCTACAATTTTAAACAAATTATCATTTTCCTATTTCTATTATAATATTACAGCTTGACATTTTATCTTTCCAAATCTGCTTGAATTTTGTTTCTGTTTTAGAACATCAATTATTTTAGTTTTACTTAATAGCAAATTTTTAGACCAGAAGTACCGTTTCACAACTAAAAGTATTTTTTAATGTTTATTTACATAGTGATTTCATTTAACAGGAACACTTGATGGTGGTAACAGTATCTCTAAAATAGAACTCACTAGGCAAGTCAAAAGAAAAAAAAAAACTTTTTGCAGAACTGAAAGTAAAACCTAAAGATCTGTCAGGAAAATTTAAATTAACAGATGTCTTAACAGATAAGTTTTAAAATTAATATAGGATTGTTATTCATCCCAATAACAAGCAATTAAAAAAACATGCAACAAAATGTGATAGTTGCTTTGTTTCACAGTGCATTTAATTGAAAAAATCAATGCACAAACAGTGCTCATTTATAGAATTCAATTGGTACTGCTATTAAGCAACAACAGCACGTGGAACACCAGTTCAAGAAAAATGCTATGTTTTCCCAAATGTCACAGAATGCCATCAAACCAGTACATTTAGAGTTTTGCTGAATGTAATTATTTAAAATGTCTGCACAGGTGACTACAAAATACAAATAAGAGCTTTAAAATTGTATTGTGGCACAGAGTACGGTAAAAACCCTCATATTCAATATTCAAGCAACTGAAAAGCTTAAATAACTATAATGTTTTAGAACTTTAGAAACTCCTCTCCTTCCAAAAAATTCAGACTTATCTTCGCCAATATGTAAACACAATCTCAACAGGCTACTGATAGTTTTTTTAATACTATTTATCTGTTTCCCCATTACTTCTTGAATAATTATTAAAACACGGGGCTTGCTTTCCCCAGAACAGCATGCAGCAGAGTATGTTAAGGGATCATGGCATGAAGAAAAGTCAGTAGGCACGATAGAAGACTATCTGAATACAGATAAACAATGGCAATGCAACATGAAAAATTATATGGATTCAAGTTTTTTATAAGCTGTAGCCACTGCCTTTTAGGTTTCTTTTTTTTAGAAAAAAAATTGTAAATCTATCCTCAAAGATATCATATATACCCATGTATAAATAGCCCTCCTTCTTTGAGAAAAATTTTCAGAAAAACAAACTTGTAGCATGAGCGGTGCCCCTGATAAAATTGCATGGCAATATTCTAACACACACACACAAAAGGAAAAAAATAATAAATAAATAAATAAAAATAAGGATTTAAAGAAATTTTGTTTATTTCTATTTTAGCACATGATAAAATTTAAAAATATATACAAAAATTTCAAAGAATTCTACTCGAATCCTTCAAATTTTGAGTCAGAATCAGAATTGCCAAATAAATACTGAAATTCTTTTTCAGTCATTGACAAGTTGTCATAAATTTCTTCACAGCTATCCTGAAAACTACAAGTGTCATTATCGTCACTTGGATAGACTGCATCATCATCTGTGCCATCCAAGTCATAGGAGATGCAACACTTTTTGAATGACTTGAGTATAATTTCAGCTGGAATCATGTCCCAAGCATCTTTCTCTCACCAAACAATTAAGCCACTGCATACTGCTCGATTTTGATACATTTTGGTGCTGAAATATGGGGCTTCTTTTTTCTCATTTTTTCTTTATCTTCATATATTACTGTACACATCTTTATTAACAAAATTAGTATAATGCAGGAATTTTAATAGTTTTTTAATTAAAAAAACATACAAATACACAGAATCTTTTTGATTTTGATAAATATACACGATAATTTATTTGTTCAGTTAATAATAGTGTCTGTACTCACTTATTACTATAGAATTATTTTTTAGTATGGTTAACTTTGAAACATGACTTTAAATATAATCCAACTTTGCATTCTTCATGCCAAATGCAAATCTCTCTACATTTTTTCACCCACTGTTGTCTTTTTTTGGAACAACACACAGCACACTGCCTTTTAGGTTTTTTTTTTTTAGAATTTGGGGGTATGCAGCTTGCAAAATGCCTCCTTACAAGGCGAATAAAGTTCATACTATCATCTAGACCAGCGATTCTCAACCGGTGGTACGCAAGACAAAAATAGGTGGTACGTAAATAAACGTACATAATAAACATTATAACGTAAATAAACATTTTTAACTATTAAACTCAAAAATTTCCTGAAGAACAATTGATAGAATTTTTTTGTGATCGAATTCTAACTTAAAATTTAAAAAATAACACACTCATTAACTTTAGGCTGAACTGGAAAAACAATTTTAAAGGCATTTCAAATAAAGTTATTAAATTTTTATTCCTGTAATGCCCATAAAAGCCTAGCCAGCAGAATAATTAGTCCAACGGAGTAAGTGGTTTGTTGAACAGAAGAAATTAAAAACAAAAAAAAGAAAAAAAGAAAAAAAAGAAAAAGAAAAAAAAAAAGAAAAGAAAGAAAAAGGAGGAACAAGAAGACGAGTGGGCAGAAGGGTACTTTGCACCCTGGTTGTTGGACGGGATGGTCCGATCTTTTTTTGGCTGAAGCGGTTGCTTTTTTTTGTTTTTTTTTTGTTATGCAGAGATTATTTTTCTCATCCGGCGGAGACAATGCCGGACTTACCTATTCATGCTTGTACATATAATGTAGAATAATGCAATTTCCAGACCATACTGATTTAAATTGAGTTCTATTACACAGAAAAGTCAATATTCTTGTTGCTTGAGTTGTTTACTTATTAAAGTTTATTGTTAAACAATAAAAAAGGTTTCATCTATGTGTCAATTGACAGTAACATGCTTGAAGCAAATGAACCCCACGCTACGGTATAATACAATGATTCCTATCTCCCTCGGCAGTCGACTACAATGGTGGCAGCTTCGCGATCAAGTGCTTCATCACAGGGCTGAGTACTGTTTTTTTTTAGTTTTCTGTTCAATCGGATGCAGGGTATTTTATTTTTTTTGTTTGGGTACCGCTAAAAGATGTAAGATTGTAAACAGGGTTCGTACACATTTCTGCACATGGAAATTAAGTACTTTTAAGGACCATATGAAAAAAATTAAGGACCTATGAGCATATGGGAACTGACTAAATTCAATTAAAAATATTATTCTATGCCTGAATTTCACTTTTCTAATACCATCCTAAAAATAAAAATCCATAAGTAGTACGCATTATTACCAAACGTAAATCAATTAACATAATTATTAATAAGTTTGAGAATAAAATAAACTTCATGCAGTTTATCAAGTAGCATTAAATATTTTACACTTATAACAGGTTGGAATATTTGAAAAAAAAAAAAAAAATAAGTGACATTTACATTTTACTAACAGTTAGCTTTATGTTGATTTTTTATGTCTCATTTTGTCACATACTTGGTCATTCTAGAGCAAAGGTTCTCAACCGGTGGTATGTAAGAAAAAATAGGTGGTACATAAAGAAGCAAAGTATTTTTAACTATTTATTTCAAGAAACAAAACCCCAACATCCTGATTGAGTTTTTTCTCTAGTACATGTAAATTTATGCGATCTGAGCTTTGTTCAAGAGTGGTGGTGGTAGTAGTACTTTGGTGGTACTAAAGGTTTTCAATTTTTATTCAGATGGTACACTTTAGTCAAAATGTTGAAAACTGCTTGTCTAGAGGTTTAGTAAATGACAGGTAGATTTTATGTCAAACGTCATAGATTAAAATGAGAAGTATCATAATCAGCATCATTCATAACCAAAAGACTGAATGTTATCACCACTGCTTCTTGTCTAGAGAGAGACCTGCTGATTAGAACAAAACCTGAAAGGCATGATGTAGGCATGGTTGGTAAGTGTTAAAAGTTAGTCAGGCTCTGGTGCAGTTAGTGTCATAGCTTTGTGTAGAGTTCCAGGGGTTGTAACCCAGTTAATATACTTTCAGGTTCCAATAAGCCATTAAAGCACCAGAGGTGATAAGTTGTTTTGCATTAAGTCTCACTAGATGCAAAGAATAAGCTTTACTTGAATTTCTACATTTTTGTGTTTCATCTTGTGACCACAGTGAGTATTAATGGTAGGCAATAACTCGCTTTAATATGTACAGATAATTTTTAAGGGTAAGCAGTTAGTTATAAATAATTAAATCAGATAAATAGGTAACCTTACTCATTATGGATTTACATGGCCACTATTAAATTTTATTTTTTAACAATATTTGTTAAAAAAAGCACTATTAAAATCAAAATCTAATAAAATTTCACAGTTGAAAATACATGTTATTTATGACACTGATTCTTAAATGATATTAGAATAATTACACATTAAAAGCTACAAAACATTTATGTTTTGTAACAACAACACTCAACAAAATATTTATCTGTCATTTTAATTTGAAGCCTTCCCAAATATTTTGGCTCGTTTATACCGATTTCTCTTTAAGCATCCTTTCTAACAATAATTAGAGATTTGTCTCAATATGCAAACCAATGCTCTCGCTAGTTTCTGCGTGCTTTATCTCCTAATTTGTCAACATCTCTACAATGTACGTATGAGGGTTTACTTGATCTGGTAAAAGTTAAATAGTCCAAAAACCACGATAGACGTGAAGCAAATTATCACTATGTCTGAAAGTAACTACAATATTTGACAAAGGTTTAAATAAGCCTCTTATTT